TCTACTGTCTCTCTTTGTTGAGCACACAGGCCTTTTTAACAAAACAAAATGAACAAAAAGATCTTTTTAGGAAATAGATAAAACTTAGGAAACTGAAAATTTATTAAGCTAAAAATTCTTATTAACATTGTTGGTTTAATAACAAGTGATTTCAATGTTTTACACAATATTTCTGATGAATAGCAATTGCGCATGAATTTTAGAAACATATTAGAGGCCACTTTCTTTCCTTCTTTTTTTTGTTTTTAGGGCACATGTGGTCTTGGGAGAGAGACAGAGAGAGGACTTAAGAAATGACTCCTAGGGGCAATGGCCATGCTGCAATCCCTTCTCCTCTAGTGATCTTCGGCATGCATGCATACACCTGTTGCGATTTTCAAGCAGTCAGGTTGACTGCAACAGCAGTCGGTCATGTGGGTGTCCGTAACGTAAGCCGTACTTCATTTGCTGGCCCACTGTGTAAACCCATGTCTGTTGTGACACATTTTAACAGATTCTAATCTTTTGCCGTTTCTGTTCTTTTAATGCAGTGATGTATACATTTTAAGAGGGCATTTTGGTGTGTTCAGTATATTCTTCCTCAGCTTCTGAGTAGTGGGTCTCATGTGCACACCACTATTCTTGACTGTTTTAAACAGGTCTCATTGTGTTAATCAGGCTGGCTTTGAACTCACACATAATCTTACTCCATGTGGTTTTACCCTCAGATCATTAGTATCTTAACTGGTATATACCTGGTGCATGTTCTGTGTTGTTTGATTTCTGTTTTGTCCCCAATGTTCTCAGCTGTTCAAGTAGTTTTAAAGTATAAAATGTGTTTGTGTGTCAGAATATGGGCCCTAAGTGTTCAGAGCTTTACATGGTTTGTTACCTCGTAAGACAGCAGGTTGGAATTATGTATAGCCACATACATATCACAAATGTGTATATATACTTGCTTCACATATTTATTTCTATAGATATTTAACTCCCTGAGAACAATGAGACAGCATCAGTACATCCAGTTACAGCCCAGTTCCCTTAGCTTCTTTTGTTTTTTCTTATTTGAAATTTTATTCTCTAGCAGGAAGAGTCCTCCTTTCTTTATTTGAATAATAATAATAATGGAGAAAACATTACCAATTTTCTTCCTGCACCAATGACCTGTTCTTCACTTACTTTAGGTGCCATTTTACAGTGACAGCTGCTCCTCCACATAGAATTAGAGCAGAGTAGTACCAGACACAATAATTAGTTTATTTGGAGACAGTTTTCTTAAAGTAGAGCTGAAGTTGTTGGGTGTGGAGCTTGAGAGCTGCTTTACTTCATTTTTGTTTGAAGGATAGACATGTTTTGCTGTTCTGACCCTTCTTGTCTAGAAGAAATCCCATACAAGTGAGCTTATACTTACATATTATACTAACATTACCCTGTTTACCAATTGATTATGAGCTAATTGTTACAGCAATACAATTTTATTTATCTGGTGCATTATTGATCAGCTTTTTGCTTGTTTTTATGTCTTCCAATGTCACTAACATTGAATTTTTTCTATCAATAATATGGAAGCAGTTTTTTATGTTGCATTAATTTTTCTTTTCGTTTTCAATTTTTTTTCAAGAGAGATTTTTGCCATAATATTTCTGTGCTTGCCTGAGAGGCAAAGAAAGACAAAGACACAAAAAGTGAGAAATCACTCCTCCCATACCCCCATGAGGATTACCACAGTGTGATCCCTTCTCCTTTTGCGTATGCATTTATGTGCACTTTGTGTGAATTTTAAGCCACTAGGTTGAGCACTTCAATCACAGTTTACTATGTGGAAAGTTTAGGAATGTAACCATTTTGCCATCTGCTCGTACAAGTTATAATAGTTTTATTTTATTATTATTATTTTTTTTGGAGAAGTTTTTGTTATAGGGCATGTGCCCTCGCCAGAAAGACAGACAGAGAGAGAGAGAGAGAGAGACAGAAAGCAAGAAATCACCCCCCAGGGAGGATGGCCACGCCACCCTCCCTTCCTCTTCATCTCGTCTTAGAATCTTGGGCTCGCACGCACATGCGCCCTGCATGAGTTTAAGCCACTGGGTCTGGGACTGGAACCACTGTCAACTACATGGGATTCCAACAACAGAGTCATTACACTAACTACTGGTCCCCCAGTTATAATAGTTTTAAAGTCACAAGGAATGATGAAAAAAAGTACTTTAATTTATCTTGCCTTGATGTGGTAATTTTTAATGTGTTGATTAATTTGTTGTATTCATTTGTTGTATTGATTTATTTGTTGTATTCTTTCTCTTATTTTTTTTTAACATTTGAGAAATTATACATATCTATTGCCTTTATACTTAAGGTTTTTAACCTAAACATCTCAGTGTATGTTTCCTAAGAATAGTAGTAACTTTCTCTTACATAGCTACAGAAGATTTGATCAAAGTCAGAAACTGTAATATCTTTCATACTTTTGACATTTTTTTAAAAAGATCAGTTGTTCAGTACACTGTTTGTTTCTCATATTAGGGTTTCTATACTTTTCCAAACATTATGCACTTCTTACATAGTTATTCTGAAACAGCCAAAAATTTTGCATCTTAACCATTTTTATAGTGTTTAATTTAGTGGAACTAACAGATGGTGGAATTGTTACATTGCTAATGTCCCATGTAGTCGACTGCAGTTTGAGTCCTGGACCCAGGAGCTTAAAACTCATGCTTCGTGTGTTTATACGCATGCCGAAAATTCTGAGAGTAGAATGGAGAAGGGGATATTTTGTCATGGCCTTCTTTCCTGGCGGATGGGGGCGGGAGTGATTTCTTGCTTTCTGTCTCTGTCTGTCTCCATCTCTCCACTGAGTGCACATGTCCTGTAGTAAAAAATCTCCCTTTGAAAAATGTTTATAGTTTAGTATTACATTTGCTGGGACTACCAATTGGCATAATGGTTATATTGCTGACTCCCATGTATTCAACTGCGATTCGAGTCTTGGACCTGGTGACTTAAAGTCACACTGGGTTCATGTATGTGTGCACCAAAGATCTGGAGAGCAGAATGAGGGAGAAGGGATTGCAGCGTGGCCATCCTCCCGAGGTGATAATTTCTCACTTCCTGTCTCTCTTTCTCTGTCTTTCTAACGATTGGACGCACCCTATGGCAAAATAAAAACCAAAAACTCTTTAAAAAAAAAAAGTGTATTCATATTGTTGTATGACCAATCTACATGACTTTTTTCATCCTGCAATACTGAAACTCTGCACTCATCAGAACAAGTTTCTCCATCTCTAACCCTTTAAAACACCATTATGATTTTTTTTGACTTATACTATTCTTTATAGCTTTCACAAAAAAAATTATATCATACAGTGATTTTTTTTTTTTTTTTTGGAAGCTTTCTTTTTTTTTTCTTTTTCTTTCCTTTTTTTTGAGAAAATTTTCACTATAGGGCGCGTGCGCTCGCTAGACAGAGAGAGACATAGAGACAGAAGGTGAGAAATCACCCCCCCCCGGGGGGATGGTCACGCCGCAATCCCTTCTCCGGGATCTTGGTACGCATGCACACGTGCCTGGCGTGAGTTTTAAGCCACCGGGTCCGTGATGCGAACCGTCGTTGGCTACGTGGGAGTGCAGCGACATAGCCATTTCTCTAATTGCTGGTTCCCATGAGAAGTTTTCTTTACATAGCATTATGTCATCATAGTTAATCTTCGTTGCATGTCAGAATTTTCTTTCTATTTGTATATATGAAATTTTCTTTACCTGTTTTTCTACTGTTTTAACTTTTTCCTATTATGAACAATTGTGCTGTGAACATTTATGTATAAGTTTTAGTATGAAATTATATTTGTATCTCTCGGATGTATACCTGGGAGAGAAATTGTTGGATGATATAGCAACTTTGACTTTATTAAGGAACTGCCAGACTTTGGTGGCTCTCCATCTATAAGGTATGGGGTTTCTTGATTCTCAAGATCTTTGTCAACACCTAAGCTATCTTCAAAGATTATTCCATTCTAGTGATACGGTATATCTTGTTTTGATTTGCACTTCTCTGATGGCAAATGAACAATTTTACATATGCTTGCTAGTATTGTTTATTTTCAAGGGGGAAACGTTTTTCACATCTTTTGCTTATTTTTATTACTGCTTTAGTTTGAGAACATTGTGTTGTTTATATTTCAAGAAGAACTAAATTCTTTCAGTGTTATCTATTTTTTTTTTCTGTCTCCAGTGGGTAAGGAGGACATATTGATTTGAGGTATCTGGATAGGAAATTGTTTCTTCATATTTTGGGGTGAGGATTAATGAGCCGTGATGTGGTTATGTCTTGTAATATTCAATCTCATAGCACGGCTTAATTGATACTATTATTTTATGTATATAAAATTATACTCTTAAGAATATAAAATGTAAAAGATTGGGTACACTTGAATTTACTTTTGTCTGTATCTTTTTTTCTTTGCAGATAGGACAACCATAGAAAAACTAAAAGCTATATGTTTCTGCCCTGCAAATGGAGAAAACAACCTAGGTTTATCTCTTGACTCACTTTTTTTGAGTCCGTCTGCCTCCCAAGTTTTGTACCTAACAGAGGTTGGTTTTTTCCTTTGCAGAAATATAATTCTTACATTATAAAGTAATATTGTAATCATATAAGATTGCAGATTTTTTTAAATTAAAACTTTTTTTATTAACGAGAGTAGAAATAGGTATTTTCTGTTGGTTTTCTAACATTTTTTGATATAGTATTCTCTTCTTTTTCCTAGGTGGTTTATGTCATGTTAATGCCTGCTGGTACACCTCTAGTTGATAGTTCTTCTGACTTTCACTTGCATTTCTTGAAAAGTGGTGGCTTATCCCTTGTCCTGAGTATGCTAGTAAAGCATAACTTTTTAACAAATACAGATACAGAAACTCGAAGGGATGCTTACTTCAGTGCTCTTAAAATAGCTAAACTATTGTTAACTGCTGTTGGCTATGGCCATGTTCGAGCCATAGCAGAAGCTTGTCAGCCAGCTTTAGATGGTGCAGATCCTGTTACACCGGTAATAAATTTTAAGAAATGTTTTGAAATATGTTGTATTCTTAACATCTTAATTGTAAAAATACATTTAATGATCATTAAGTAGAGAGGCAAATTTAATTAAAAATGTAGCACAGTATCAGTATCTTCTAGTAAGCTATATTCGTATTAACATAAATAATGTCTACTAAATACACTGATTTTAGAAAACATAATGTTTTTAGATCATTTTTGAGTTTAATTTGTTTGAAATTTTATAAAAATATAACCTGAGTTTTTTGAAAGCTACATAAAGACATATCTCTTTTAGGGGAGGGCGGGAGAGGGATGGGAGAGGTTTTCGCTTTAGGGTGCATGCACTCACCATAAATAGATAGAAAGTGAGAAATCCCCTCTCCGGGAATGGCCGTGCCACAATCTCTTCTCTGTTCTCCTCTCAGGATCTTGGGTACCACTGTGAATTTAAGCTGCCGGGTCCAGCACTCAAACCATAGTCAATTACATGGGAGTCCAGAGACATAGCCATTACGCCAATTACTGGTACCAAGACACATCATTTTATCTTTTTTTTTGGAGATTTTTTTTTGCTGTAGGGTGCGTGTACTCGCTATGAAGAGAGACAGAATGCAAGAAATCATCATCCGGGTGGATGGCTACACTGCAATCCCTTCTTCGTTCTCCTCTTGGAATCTTGGGCATGTATACATGCCTGCCCTAAGTTTAAGCCACTGTGTTTGGGACTCATATTGCAGTCAACTACATAGGAGTCCAGTAGTGTAGGTGTTTATGCTATCTGGTGGTTCCAAGACATAATATTTTAAAGAATATTCAATTGGCCTGCTACCAGTGTCTCTTCCCACCATGACAAAAACTTTGCTCTTATCTTTAATAACCAATAATTCCCAAGATATATTTAGATTTGATACAGTTGTTGAATACTACCTAAATTAAGTTCACCACTTATTTGTATCATAAATTATGGTTTAACTAGTCACCAACTAATGATAAAATGAGTCAGGTACACATTGTCATTTTTGGAAATGCGTGAGGTATTATTAATCAGGGATATTGAATAGTGACTACATATTTGATATTGTAGAATGATCCATAATATTTGGGGTGTGTAAGTAATATTGTGGATTTGCCTAAAAGAAAACAAACATTCTACTATTACAGTGTTTCAAATACAATGGGAATTCCTCCAGAATAACTGTAGGTGGTATGAGCTGAGTTAGTGATTGGCAGCTATTCCATTCAGCAGGTTTAGCTTTCTGTTAATAATTAGTGAATGTAGATGAGGGATAATTGAGTTGATTTTTTTCCACTTTATGTATCCTTGAAATTTTCTATTTCAGAAAATGCTTTAAAAAGAAGAAATAATAATATTGTATATTTAGAGAGAGAATACAAGTTTATAAAGCTTTGTTCCCATTGTGTTCGATTGTATTGTGGCTTCCATGCATATTTATGGAAAAAAGGTCCATTCTTGTTAATATCCTTTTCTTGAGATGTTTACTGAAATATATGTAAGATGATTTTATGTGTTCCTTAATGCCTTTTTCCCAGTTTGTATTGTTAATGTACCACTAATGTGTACAGAGGTACATTATAAGTCTCTTCCCTCAGTTTGCTCATATTTTAGTGGAAGAGAAAACAAATTACTATTTAAAGTACTTTTATTATAGAACTGTCTACAATATCTACAAAGAAGTTTCCTTGAATCTTGGGCATGTATACATGCCTGCCCTAAGTTTAAGCCACTGTGTTTGGGACTCATATTGCAGTCAACTACATAGGAGTCCAGTAGTGTAGGTGTTTATGCTATCTGGTGGTTCCAAGACATAATATTTTAAAGAATATTCAATTGGCCTGCTACCAGTGTCTCTTCCCACCATGACAAAAACTTTGCTCTTATCTTTAATAACCAATAATTCCCAAGATATATTTAGATTTGATACAGTTGTTGAATACTACCTAAATTAAGTTCACCACTTATTTGTATCATAAATTATGGTTTAACTAGTCACCAACTAATGATAAAATGAGTCAGGTACACATTGTCATTTTTGGAAATGCGTGAGGTATTATTAATCAGGGATATTGAATAGTGACTACATATTAGATATTGTAGAATGATCCATAATATTTGGGGTGTGTAAGTAATATTGTGGATTTGCCTAAAAGAAAACAAACATTCTACTATTACAGTGTTTCAAATACAATGGGAATTCCTCCAGAATAACTGTAGGTGGTATGAGCTGAGTTAGTGATTGGCAGCTATTCCATTCAGCAGGGGTAGCTTTCTGTTAATAATTAGTGAATGTAGATGAGGGATAATTGAGTTGATTTTTTTCCACTTTATGTATCCTTGAAATTTTCTATTTCAGAAAATGCTTTAAAAAGAAGAAATAATAATATTGTATATTTAGAGAGAGAATACAAGTTTATAAAGCTTTGTTCCCATTGTGTTCGATTGTATTGTGGCTTCCATGCATATTTATGGAAAAAAGGTCCATTCTTGTTAATATCCTTTTCTTGAGATGTTTACTGAAATATATGTAAGATGATTTTATGTGTTCCTTAATGCCTTTTTCCCAGTTTGTATTGTTAATGTACCACTAATGTGTACAGAGGTACATTATAAGTCTCTTCCCTCAGTTTGCTCATATTTTAGTGGAAGAGAAAACAAATTACTATTTAAAGTATTTTTATTATAGAACTTTCTACAATATCTACAAAGAAGTTTCCTTTTCAACAAGGGAAATCTCTTTTTTTATCAATAATTAGGCTTTTCCAATCATAGATTTAAAAAAATCTTTATATTCTATCATGTAAAACTTCATGGTACTTTTGCACATTTATCTTTCTACTAACTCTTATTAAACATAAGTTCTCTTCTTTGGTGAATTTAGAATAAAAATTTTAGAGTAGAACTTACTTGGTTCTGCTGTTACTGGACGCTTTTTAACTCTTAGTGTATTCCTCATTAGTTTATTGAATTGAAGAATAACATACCAATATAAAGACAAATGCAGTAATGCTATTTTGACTTAAAAAATGAACTCCACTTATTTAGGTAAACTTTTATTATGCCTTTCCTGTTTTTATTTTGTAGATGAAAATCAGTATCTAAAGTGTTGGAATAACTTGGGCAGAGATAACACCATAGAGTTAAGATTTTTACCCATTTAAGCGGGCTAATTCTGAGCCAGTTTTTTAATTCTTTAATTTTAATTTTTTTTTAAAACCATCTCTGTTGTATAAGTTTCTCAGATGAAATTTTATGCATTGATAGTAACATTTGGCTTTTATGGTCATTTATTGAAGCAGTAAATAATTAAGATGTGCATAACAGTTTTAAGCTTCAGCAATTTTGGTTAAATAGAGGAGCAAGATGCATCAGACCTGTTTAGTATTTTCCATTCCCTATCTGATGATTGCAGTGTCAGCTTCCAAACTCTTAACTGGCTTAAAACCTCTGAAAATTTTACTGTGCAAGAAAGTCAGATAGAAAGGATTAGAGGTTATGCTGTGAGACACTTTAGCATATTTACAGGATATGCATAGACTGTAGGTTACAAAATTAACCTTGAACATAGTAAGAACACCTTAAAAAGAAAAGAGAAGGCATCAGAAGGTATAAATTTATAGCTATTGAGGGGAAGTTGAAAGATGTTTATCTTAGTCTCCTGATTTTCTTTATCACATCACATCACATCATCTATTGAAAGAGGAACTGGGAGAAGATTTCATCAAAGACATAAAATGTTTGTGAAAGGTTGTGATTTTTATACTCTACAAATGGAAATGAGCCTAGATGTAGAAGTAATGCTGTATTTAAATAAAATTGGAGTTTACATAGAATTATTATTACTCTGAAAGGAAGTAAAAGAGGAAGTGTACAGCTTTGGCAATCAAAAATATTTTTTATATAAACAACCATAAATTCTCAAGGGAGTGTTTGAATATATAGCACCCCAAAGAAATACAATAATTGAAGAGCAAATGTAAAGTTTCTCAAAATTTAACTGTGCAAGATTTTTTACTTGAAGTGAAACTATGTTTTTTCTTTTTTTCTTTTTTCTTCAGATTAACCAAGTTACTCATGATCAAGCAGTGGTACTACAAAGTGCCCTTCAGAGCATTCCTAATCCTTCATCTGAGTGCATGCTTAGAAATATAGCTATTCGTCTTGGTCAGCAAATATCTGATGAGGTTAGTTTTAAATTTATAAAATTCTTGGTTTAGAAATGAATAAAGCTTGGGACCAGCAGGTGGCATGGTGGTTAAGGCGCTCGACACTCCCACATTGCCAGCCTTTGGAGATCAAGTCCTGAAACTGGTGGCTTGCTTTCTCACTTCCTTTCTCTCTCACTCTTACCCTCTGTCTCTGGTCAAATTAAAAAATAAATGAATGAATAAATAAAATATAAAATAAATAGTTACTTTTTTTTTTGGAGAGGTTTTTGCTATAGGGCATGTGCGCTCGCCAGACAGATGGAGAGAGACAGAGAGATAGAAAGCGAGAAGCACATGTGCCCTGTCTGAGTTTTTAGCTGCCAGGTTTGGGACTTGAACCATGGTTGAATATGGGAGTCTAGTGACGGATTCATTATGTATGCTATCCGATGGTTCTGAAACTGAATATTCTGAGAGTCACATACTTTATCTTGACTTCCTTAAAATTTCATAACTTTATTTTTTATCTGTTATCTGTATCAGTCCATAAGTGTTCTTGTCTCTACAAAAACAAAATAAAATTTCCTGCTGGTTCAAGATCCTAAAACTATTAAGAAAAGGGAGGATAGCTTTTGGCTGTTCCTATTTGGAGTTACTTCCTTTTTTGTCTGTGGGTTGAAGAGAGGTTTTTGCTATAGGGCAGGTGTGCTCGCCAGAAAGACAGAGAGACAGAAAGCAAAAAAATCATCCCCCAGGGGGAATGGCCACGACACAGTCCCCTTTCCCCATTCTCCTTTTGGAATCCTGAGTACGCACGCACATGCCTAGCATGAGTTCAAGTCACCGGGTGCGGGACTTGAACCAAGGTCGACTCTGGCTGTTTAGCGATATAGCCATTACCCTAGTTGCTGGTCTCGAGTTACTTTCTTCTTTAAACAAGCTTTTAAAGAAGATTTTTACATTGTATAAACTAGTCAAAGTTAGTTTTTAAAAGATCTTTAAACTGCTTTTATAATCAAGGAATTTATAATCAAGGAAAGTTTCTTTCATCCCTAACATTTTTCCGTTCCTGTCTCTGACCCCTATGATCAGATATTGGTCATTATAGAATCGTCTTCATTTTCTTAATATTTCCATAAATAGGGCATGTTCTCTACTCTTTTAATGTATGAGTGCATGTATACAGGAAGAAGAGAGAAGAAAGCATGCTCACATGGGGCTTGGTTGTGCTGAAACTATTTCTCACTCAATTTTTTATCTCTATCATGTGTATGTATGTAATTGCTTGGTGTGTAAACTGCTGGACTACAGTCAGTCATGTGGGATTTGGCCTGTTTCGTACAACTCTAATTCCTGTACTACAGGCTTTCTGCTCTATATAATATGTGTCTGGATTAATTGGTTTATTCATGTTGTTTTATATGTATGTTTAATCTACTTAGAGTGCTATATAATTTTGTGGTCACTTTACATGTTTTATTTTTTTAAGATATATTCTCACCATCATAGCCCTCCTGCCTTAAATAGGTACACACTGCCAGACCTGTCTCTTTTTTCAGTCTTATGTTGTTTCCCAGGCCAGTCACTTAAATATTATTATCTGGCCTCAGCCTTTCATGTCTCTGAGATTATTAACAAGAGTAACCTATGTTTAGTTTTGGACTGGGTTTGAACTTGAGCACCACATTAAAAAAAAACGTTTATTTATGTATATATCTGTTTTAATTGTTGTAATTGTTTTTTCAGGGGGGGGTTGCTATAGGTCACATGCGCTCGCCAGACAGAGAGATACACAGAAAATGATAAATTACCCCCCGCCTGCGGGGCATGGCCACAGTCCCTTCTCCTAAATTGTCCTCTTGGGATCTTAGGAAAGCATACATATGTGCCTGTCGTGAGTTTTAAGTCACTGGGTCTGGGACTTGAACCACAATCGACTAAATGGGAGTCCAGCAACATATCCATTACACTAACTGCTTGTCCCTGTTGTGATTCTTAAGCTACCTGGTCCATGGCTGAAACCACATTTGATCAGGGGGGAGAATCCAGCCCCCAACCACCATATTTCTTACTAGTGCTGTGCAGCATATTTTAATTTTTAGTCCATTTATCTGTTGAGATTTTTTTTTAATTTGATTTTGGGAATAAAGTGCTTACGAAATTTATCAACACATAAGAGGGCTTCTGTGTTCATACTTTTTTATATCTTTTGGATAAATTTCTAGGAGTCAATGACTGGGTAATCTGATTTTTCTGTCTTAAAAATTCTTCAGAAAGATAGTATAGGGCTATTTTAGATTTTAACCTGAAGCTTGCTTTCTGGATATTACTATTAAAAGTTCTCTTTGGGACCAACAGATGGGTAATGATTACGTCAGTGGATTCCCATGCAGTTGACTGTGGTTTGAATCCCAAGTCCTAGGTCCCGTGGCTTGAAAACTCCATTCTCAGGGTGTGTGTGCATCAGTGTCTAGGATCTGAAGAGGAGAATGGATTGGAGGGGATTGCAGTGTGACCATCCTCCTCTTGGGGGACTGATTTCTTTTTTTTTTTTTTGGAGAGGTTTTTGCTATAGGGTGTGTGTGCTCACCAGACAGAAAGCGAGAAATCACCCCCCCGGAGTGATGGCCATCCTACAGTCCCTTCTCCTTCATTCTCCTCTTGGGATCTCGGGCATGCACGCACATGCATCCATCTTGAGTTTAAGCCACTGGGTCTGGGACGCGAACTGTGGTCGACTACGTGGGAGTCCAGCGACATAGCCATTACGCTAACTGCCGGTCCCTTGGGGAACTGGTTTCTAACTTCCTGTCTCTCTCTCTCCAGTGAGCACACACATCCTACGGCAAAAATTTTTCTTAAAATCTTTAATATAGGCCATTATTCTGTACATATGACTTGTTAATGAAATAACAAATGTGGACTTAAGGTAACTTTGTACCTTAAAGGCATTCTGAAGTGTATTTACATTTTTAGGTTTTAGCTATAGGGTTCATGCACTGGAGGAGGGAGAAAGAATTGCAAAAACACAGAGATAGAGAAAGGAAGAATTCACCATCCCAGAGTAGATGACCTCACTTCACTTCCCTCTCTTTCATTCTTTTCTTGAGATTAAAATTTTTTTGAGAGAGAGATTTTTGCTATAGGGTGCCTGTGCTCTCCAGAGAGACAGAGACAGACAGACAAAAAGCGAGATATCACCCGATAGGGAGAATGGCCACACTGCCAACCACTCTCCCCCTTCTCTTCTTGTGATCTTGGACGTGCATGCACACGTGCCTGGCATGAGTTTTAAGCCACTTGGTCTGGGACTTGAACCGCAGTCAACTACATGGTAGACCAGCAACTTAGGCATTACACCAACTGCTGTTTCCCTCTTGGGATTTTAAACACACATGCCTATGGTACATATTCATCATATTTACAAGATACTTCCACCATGTGGGAATTAAGCAGCTTAACCACTGCACCACCTGCTCTGGCCCATATGTTTGCTTTTTTAAGCCCTTTGTTCTGCAGCTGACTTTTTTTTTTTTTTTTTTTTTTTAAAAGGTTTTTGTCACAGAGTATGTGTGCTTGCCAAAGAGAGAAGTAAAGTGAGATATCATCTTCCAGGGGCTTGGCTCCACTCTTTTTTCTTCTCAGGATTTTGGATATTCATACACAGGTGCCTGGTGTGTTTTTTAAGCCACCATGTCAAGACTTAGAGCATGCAGGGCCGTGTGGAAATACTGTGCCCTGCATCTGACTTTGAGCAACATAGAGAACTCCATGGGTCAATTTATATGCCCTTTTTCTCAATACATATTAGGAATACAGTATTATAATATGAATATAATTTTTCTTAGGTTTTTCTCAATAGCTTTTTCTATTTAAAAATACTATATATAAAAAGTAACATTAAAAATATTTGTCTGATTCGCTAGTTACTATTGATAAGCCTTCTGATCAACAGACTGTTATTTGTAGTTAAGTACTTGGGAATTCAAAGTTTATGCATGTATTTTTTAACTGTACAGTGAGTCAGCACCCTTAAGCCTCTATCCTCTATCCTGTGTTGTTCAAGTGTTCATTTTAATTTTTTTTGCATGTAAAAATTTATTTTTATGATTTTTAAAAATAATTTCATTGTACTATTTTGTCAGGAGTTTTAATTATTTTTTTGCAGGCTTCAAAATATATGCCTGATACCTATGTAATTAGAGCTATACAAAAAATCATTTGGGCATCAGGATGTGGAGCATTAGCACTAGTATGTGGACCATATGAAGAAATCACTAAAATTTATGAGATGGTAAGTATTTTTATAGAAATATACTGCTTTTAGTTGTGTAATTGTTTGCGTGACTAAATTTTCTGTCAGCTGTGTTTAACTAAGAAGTGATCTTATTCTTATTTAAAATTAATCGTTACATCTAGATAGGAATATTTATTTTGAAAACTATGTTTACTATATAACGTAGCCTTCTAAAATGTTTTAAAATTCTTACTTAACTGAAAATCACTATATTGTAATGAATCTATTTTCATTCTGCTTAGATGTTCATTTTGAGCCATGTGAGGTTTTTTTTGGGGGGGGAGAGGTTTTCTCTATAGGGCGCGTGTGCTCACCAGACAGACAGAGGGAGTCAGAGAGACAGAAAGCGAGAAATCACCCCCCAGGGGGGATGTTCACGCTGCAATCCCTTCTCCTCCGTTGTCCTCTCGGGATCTTGGGGACTCATGCACACGTTCCTGGCGTGAGTTTTAAGCCATCAGGTCTGGGACGCGAACCGCGGTCAACTACTTGGGAGTCCAGCAACGTAGCCATTACGCTATCTGCTGGTTCCGCCATGTTACTTTTTATAACTGTTTTAGAATCATAGAATTTTAAGTATTGCATTGTCAGAAAAGTCATGACTTATTTTTGTTTTTCTATGCAAAAATGCATTATGAGTTTCCCTATGACCCGATATTTTCCTAGTGCTTTCATTATTTATATTTTACTATTTTTCTTTAGAGAGATTTGCCATATATCATGTGTAACCACCGGAGACACAGTGAGAGACAGGGAGAGAGATAGTGAGAAATCATCTCTCAGATGGATGGCCATGCTGTAGTCCCCTTTGCTCCATTCTCCTCCCAGGATTCTGGACACGCCTGTATATGTGCCTGGTGTGAGTTTGAAACTGCTTGGTCCAGGATTTGAACTGTGATCATCCATGTAGGAATCCTGCACCACAATTATCATGATACTGTGGGCCGTGTTAGGATTTTTAAAGAATTCAGGCCATGAATATTGTTCAAGTATTAGGGTGCAATTCCTAGATTACTGGTAGATTAAGCAAATGAATTGCACAAATGAGACAATAATTAATTGCAGTTTTATTTTCTGTTACTTTTCCCTGATGGTTGTTTCTGTGTAAAAGGGGGAAGTGGTTAATGGCATCCTTTTTATGAATATTTAAACACTTAACTGGGTTTCAGAAATAAATATTTGTTTCAGTTTTAGAATGTAGCCTGATTAAAAATTAGCTCCTTACCTCAGTATACTTTACGTTCTAAACATTTTCCTTAGGCTTCCTGAATAGTAGTGTATGTAAGATGTTGATTCTTATCTAAAACCCATTTTGGATAGGTTTTATAGTAAACTAATCAGAGAGCATGATATAATTAAAATGTTTATGGAATTATGATTAACACAGAAATAAGCTTTTCCTATCTTGAAGAGAAGAAAAGTAGTACTTTTTCACTAAGGTTGTTCTGATATGTATGTATTTCAAAGGGCCTCAGTAAAGGGCCTGCAATTAAGAATCCAAGCCAAATGGTCTTTAGTTAGTTCGTAACTGGTAGATTTTTGTATTTTTTATCGAGTGTATCCGTAGGTAATTTATTCCTCATCATAATTTTACAGAGCCACAGTGGAAGCAGTCAGCCAGAGGTAGAAGATGAACTGGTTTGCTGTGAAGGACTGGAAGTGATGACTTTGTGTTTTGCTTTAATTCCAACGGCCTTGGATGCATTTAGTAAAGAAAAATATTGGCAGACATTCATCATTGACGTATTACTGCACTGTCCCAGCAAGTAAGTATCTTTATTTAATTCAGAGGAAGGCTCACATTGTTCCTTTAAGCAAACATGATTGAATTTTGAAAAACATGTTATTCCCAAATTCAATGATGAAAACCTCCCTTTTTTGTATGAAACATCTTCATTTCTATTGAGTAACTTCTACATAACTTAAATTTGTCTTTTACTTTATTTTCTATTGTGGTAAGATATGTAATTTATGAATAGTTAATCTTCTGTGTAACAGCTATTTTTAACCAGGTAATTTAATGGCATTTCCCTGATTCACAGTACTGTTAAATATTTGCAGTCTTTATCACAGTATATAGGTTTCTTCTTTTCTTTTTTTAATTATTCTTTTTCTTTTTATTTTTTCATGGGAGTGTGTCTACTAGCCAGAAAGAATGAAATATGGATAGGGAGAAAACATCCTCCAGTTAGGCATCATCACACTTATAATTGTTCTTTTTCATTTCTCTACTTGTGAGGATTTTGGGCACACACCTGGCTTGTTTACCTTGGGTCCAGAATTAGAATTGTGTGATTGGTCAAATAGAATCCACTTCCCTTCAAACCAGGATGTAGGCCAACCCCTTCACACCAGATTCTTTTAAGAAATATGCTCCATTTTCCTCATTCCTGTACACCTAGTAATCTTTAATATACATTTTGTAGCCTTAGTTTTTTCTGCTGTAGGGCACACGTGCTCGCCAGAAAGAGAGACAGAAAGCGAGAAGTCACCCTCCCCTTTCCCAGGGGATGACTATGCTGCAGTCACTTCTCATTCATTCCCCTCTCAGGATCTTGGGCACCTAGGCACATGCACCTTGTGTGAGTTTAAGCCACCAGGTCTAGGACTCCAAATGTGGTCGACTACATGGGAGTCCAGCAACATAGCTGTTATGCCAACTGCTGGTCCCTGTAGACTTAAATTTGAATCACAAATTTGTTTCAGAGTTTTAGCACATAATGGGAAGGTATCACATTCTTGTTACCTATCAAGTTGGGTTATTAAAATGACTTGTTGCAGGACCAGTGGTTAGCATAATGGCTATGTCACTGGACTCCCTCAACTATGGTTCAGGACCCAAACCTGGTGGCTTAAACTCACACTGGTGCGTGTGTGTGCATGCCCAAGATTCTAAGAGGAGAAGAGATTGCAGTGTGGCCATCCATACCCTGCCTCACCCTCCCAGGTGGGTGATTTCTTGCTTTCTCTCTCTCTCTCTGTCTGTCTCTCTTTCTGGCGAGTGCATGCGCCCAATAGCAAAAACCTCTCAGAAAAAAAAAAAAAAAGACTTGTTGCTAAAGAGGTGTGTTTGTTGAAGTCTGTGTCTGATTAACTGAAACATATTTTTAAAAGATTGCTATAAAGTACATGTGTTCACCAGAGAGTGACAGAGAGAAAGAGAGAGGTAACATGAGAAAGCACACGTAGGGTTGTGGCTTTGTTGTAGTCTCTTCTTTTTTCTCTCAGGATTTTGTACATGTGTCCAGCATGCTTCTTTAAAGTCTCTAGAAAGCAAGCCACTTAGTTGGCCATGTGGGATCCTGCTAACTGTACCTCCGTGCCACCTGTTGTCCCAATTAACTGGTGTGTTTTTGCCATAGGTTGTGTACATTCACAATAGAAAAAAGAGAGACAGTGAGAGGGAAAATGAGAAATCGCCCCTTGAGGGAAAGTCCATGCCTTCATCCTTTCTCCTTTATTCTACTCTCAGTATCTTGGCCATGTGTGTGCACATGTCCAGTGTGATTTACAAGTCACCAAATCTGGGATTCACAAGGTCTGGGTCCTTTGGGAGATCATTACTTCAACCACATCCCCCCAACTACCTGATTTTTAGAGAACATGGTCACGCTCATTGCCTCGTTTGTAAATGTAGGTTCTTTTTTTTCCCTTTTAACATATTTTAACCAAAGAGTTGTAGTTTATTTATTTGAAGTTCAAAAAGTGATTTGATAACTTTTTTTCCTGGACTACCGAAGAGTCATTTTCTAAATTTGCAAAAACTTTCTCATTCACAAATACATATTTACTATCTTGGTAGCTCTTTATTGAGCATCTTTTGCCTAGAATCTTGGCAATAAACTAAGTAGATGAATTGAGATGAATTATTGTACAGAACTCATTTATCATACAACAAAAATATATATAATAGAGGAATAGATTGATGAATTTTCTATTACTGAGATTAGAGATAGGATTTTCATTGTTTCTAAAAAAAGCTTTTTTTTATAATAATGTCTAAATAGTTCTGAGATTTTTATATGTACATATGATTTATTGGTATGACTTATCAGACTATAGACTCTTTGTCTTTTTGACCAGAATTTTTGATTCAGTAAGCATAGGATGGATCTCAAGGCTTTGTGTGTTAGGATGTAGTCCTTGCTAGGAAGAGAATAAGAGGGAAAATGAGAAGGCACTCATGACTTTGTATTTCTTAGAGATTCTTAATTGATGCTGATGCCAGTAGTCTTAACATTCATATTTTGAGAACCACTACTAACAATTAGGGATGTCTTTAGCAAAATTGAGGTTGCTTGAATTGTTTGCTCTGAAGCATGATTCATCAAAAGTGATTTTGGGGAGGCTTAAATGATTATGGAATTTACATGTTGAGCCTTCCATGGTCTCTAGTAATGCATTCTCAGATTTTTGAGGAGGAGAGGTCTGAAAATGTAAGTGTCAAGGGATCAGCATATGGTGTAATGGTTACATTGGTAGACTTCCATATTGTTGACCACTGTTGAAATCCCAGGCCTCATGGATTAAAACTCACATTGGGTGTGAGTGCTTGTGCGCTTATGATTCTGAGAAGAGAATGGAAGAGAACGGACTGTGGCATGGTCTTTCCCCTGGAGGAGGATTTCTTACTTAATATTTCTCTGTGTCTCCCTCTCAAGCAGTGCACACAGTCTATAGCAAAAATGTGTCTTTTATTAAAAAAAAAAGCTAATTGTTGATTTCATGATTCAAGTCCCAGACCCAGCAGCATAAAGATATTACCCCCAAAATCTTTATTGGAGAATATATTGCAGTGTGGCCATCCTCTTAAGGGGTGATTTCTTGTTCTTCCTGTCACTCTCTCTTTTCCTTGATCTTATGTACTTTATGGCAAAAATGTTTTTAAAAGGAAGGAAACAAGCAAATCAAGAGAAGTCAAGCATAAAGGAAACTGTTTTTAAAGAATTAGTTACTTAATTTTTTTTTTTTTTTTAATTTGGCCATAGACAGAAAGAAAGGGAAAGTGAGAAAGCAAACTATCAGGTCCAGGACTTGAACTGGAGTTCGGTGCCTCAGCCATCATGCAATCTCTGGCTCCATTAAAGAAACTTTTAGTAATAGATAATCATGTCCCCAACCTATTGGGTGACAATTTGAGGTTTAACTCTCTTGACAAGTATCTTAAGATCATCTCTGTGTTGCTTGTGAAGTATTTATTTGGTACTAACCTATTTTTACTGTTAATTTACGTGTCCTATTAAAAATAGACTAACGTTGGAATTACTTAGCTGCTGTTAATAAAATAATACATTACATAAAAAATATTTTTATTTCAGAACTGTTCGGCAGTTGGCACAAGAGCAATTTTTCTTAATGTGCACCAGATGTTGCATGGGACACAGGCCTCTGCTTTTCTTCATTGCTCTACTCTTTACAATTTTGGGGGTGAGACGTTTTCAGATGATCATGTCAGTTTGATTGGTTTTTAAAATGAAAAATGTTCAGGGAATTATTTCATATTATGATTTAAGAAAGTCATAAGTAATAAAGAAAATGTTTTAATTTTTGTATTATACTTAGACTGGTTTTTACTTTATATAAGGTTTGGAAAAAAATATACAAGTACTAACTTGTTAGAAAACATATAGCTTATTATTTTTTCTCACTGAAACAAAGTATAATCATCTGTCAATATCTGTAGTGAATTGGTTTTAGGACCACCCATGAGTACCAAACCTGCAGGACCTTCCTTAGAAAACAAAAAACTCAAGTTGCTTATACAAAATCACATGGCATTTGCATAAAACTTACCTTCTTCTCCCATCATTTCTTAAACATCTAGGTTATTTATAAATTCCTTTACTCTGTGTGTGTGTGTGTGTGTGTGTTTTATGTACATTTATTTATATATATAATATATATGCTATATAAGTAGTTGTTATACCATACTATTTTGGGAATGACAAGGAAATTAGATTCTATGCATATTCATTATAGACAGAAACAATTATTTTTCTCAAATGCCTGATTCTCCCTTGTGGAACCCATAGATAAAGAGGACCAGCTGTATTGCTACTTATTTTCAAGTTTTGGATTCTTAAGAACTTGAATTAAATCGATTGAGTGCATATTGTTTTGATTTATTATTTCAGAGCACAGCAAGAGAGAGGGGAATATATTCAGGCGACTATTTCACACTTTTACGGCACCTTCTTAATTATGCTTACAATACCAGTATTATTGTACCCAGTGCTGACATTCTTCTGAAAAATGAAATTGATTGGCTCAAAAGGATTAGGGTAAGTTATATAAAATCGAACCTATTATATCATTGTTAAATTGCTTATCTTATTTAGATAGGACTTACGGTTTTGATTGTTAAAAATAATTCTACAGGCAGTAAGCAAAATAATAATAATAAATAAACTTTGCGTTGGTCAGTTAATAAATGATTCAAAGAAGGAATACACACCTAGTTTCTTAAATGACTTTCTTGGAACTGTGAATGTTAATACTCTTTGTCCTATGTTTAGGAATTCTTTTGGCCTTTTTTGGCAATTACCATTTTATTAGAAAAGTTCGGGGTTGTTAATTTGTTTTTATCAGTTTCTTGAGAGATTAATATTTGCATGAGGCTTAACATGTGAGCTTTTGCCATTCATATTCTAATTCTTCTAGTTGTTCTCTAAAAACTACTTAATGGAGCAGGATTTGGACTCCTGGCCCACTGGCATTTTATATAAATGTGAGAAATTGTCTTGAACATCATTCTTTGGACTCTCCCTACCAGGTCTCATAGTGTTTACTGTTAACTCTATAGCTACAAAATCCAAAATTATCTCTGTGTCTCGTGATGTCAAAATTGTAGTCATTTACTATTGTAGAGCTTTCTGAAGAAATAAGGAACCACTTGAATGGAAATATGTGGGATATTAGGCTTCCCAAATTTAATATAAAGGTTATATTATGAAACTGCATGAGTTTGAATTTTTTGCATCAACATAAGTTGTGTATAAACTAAAGTTCTTTTGTATATATGAAATATCACTCCAGTAAGCTCTCTCTTGTTCTGACTTCTTTATTTCTTGTCTCCATTTTTAAGTTAACCATGTAATATTTTTCTTTTGGCAGGATAATGTAAAAAGTACGGGTGAAACTGGTGTTGAAGAGCCTATCTTGGAAGGCCACCTAGGGGTAACAAAAGAATTACTAGCTTTTCAGACCCCTGAGGAAAAGTACTACATTGGTTGTGCAAAAGGTGGTGCTAATCTTGTTAAAGTAAGTTTGAAATTTTTAGTACTACAATAATTATCATGATATTTTCAATATTAGCATGTTTGTCTCATGGAGCATTATACTTATTATGTCTTTGAGATATTATATTGACCTTTCTTTTGTTTACTAAGTTCATATGAAATATTTTGGGGGACCAGCAGATAGCATAATGGATACGTCGCTAAACTCCTACATGATCATTGGCAGTTTGAGTTATAGGTCTGTGGACTTGAAACTCATGTCAGGTGTGTGTGCATATATGCCATAAGTTCTGAGAGAAGAATGAATGGAGGAGAAGGGATTATGGAGTGGTCATCCCCCACAGGAGCGATTTCCCTCTTTTCTTGTCTTTCTCTTTGGCAAATACATGTGCCCTACAGCAAAAAAACTCTCAAAAAAGAGAAAGTTTTGAAAAATTAATGTGGTTTTCTTTTCTCTGTTTTTATTTCCCATGTACAATAAGATTTTTTTATTTATGAAAATTTTTGTCAGGGCATGAATACCCTTGCTTCAAAGAGGCAAGAGACAGGGAGAAAGAACATAACACATCACTTCCCCACAGGGGGAATGGCCACACTACATGCAATTCCTTGTCTTCCACTCTCCTATCAGGATTTTGAGCATGAGATCAACATGCACTCTGTGAGTTTGAAGCCACCGGCTCTAGGTTTCGAACCGTAGTTGCGATTTGGGAGTTTATTTTATTCTTAATAAAGAGCATCTTAAACACCCCTCTACCTGCCAGTCCCTATAATAAGATATTTTAAAAGAAAGGTCACACGTCATAACTTTATTTATAGTATGCTGTGAAAATGATTTTATTAGTTATTATTCTCTCACTATACCTAATATATAAATTAAATCTTATCATAGGTATGTACATATTGGAGTAAAGTTTGTTATAAAGTTTGCTGCTGTTTTCAGGTAGCCATGGTTGTCTTTGAACATAAGTTTTCAAGTATTTTACTTTTTGATGTATTGGAATTTTTAGTTGATCAGACTTCAAAGTGAAAAAATCTCTTCTATCTTACAAGTTTGTTTATTTGTGTTTACTGATGATTTTTCAGAACGCCTTGTAATTCAGGGAAAATATAATTTTAATGCATTTTGGTTTTATTTATAATGAATTAATTTCATCATATCTGATTTTTAAGATTTTTTTAGAAGTAATTTTTCTTCAGTATAGTTCTCATCTTTAAAACTTGAAAATATCTAATATGGAAAATTGCTTGTTAATTATAACCAGTAATTTTTAAATGAGAATTTTAATATTTTTATACAGAATTCAGCATTGCTTTCTGTGGTATAGTGAGATGTTTATGTCTCATAATTATGAAAGTTTTCTCTTTTAAGAGACATTTGTATAAAATAAGTAATTTTACTGAGATTATATGCTATCTTTCTCTGTTTAGGAATTAATTGATGATTTCATCTTTCCTGCATCCAAAGTTCACCTGCACTTTATGAAACATGGAGAACTTCATGCTGAGCAGGACATTCCAGTCTGTAGTTCACCAGCTACCATCAGTGCTGGTTTTGAACTGCTAGTAGCATTAGCTGTTGGCTGTGTAAGGAATCTCAAACAAATCGTAGACTGTTTGACTGAAATGTATTACATAGGCACAGCATTAACTAGTAAGTATTTTAATTGTAAAGTTGCTTGTGTGTATTGATAATATTTCCAAGTTTATAATTGTTTTTCCCTTTTGAAAATTTATTTATTTATTTATTGGTGAGGTTTTTGCTATAGGATGCGTGGGCTCGTCAGAAAGAGAGACAGACAGAAAGCAAGAAATCAGCCCTCAGGGGGGATGCCCATGGCTCACTTCCATCTCCTCTGTTCTCCTCTCGGGAACTTGGGCATGCACACAGACGCGGCCGGTGTGTTTTAAGCCACCGGGTCCAGGATTCACTAACTGCTGGTCTCTTCTTTAGAAAATATTTCATGTTGTTTGTTTTTTGCATCTGCTTTACCATTTTTAAGATTAGCTTATTCTCAATAATTGAGAGAGCACATGAAAGAGGGAGGGGCAGAAAGATAAAAAAGTAACTTCAGTAGGGTGTCATTATACCACAATCCTCGTTCCACAGTCTGTCATAATCTTGGGCATGCAAACAGATAGCTATCATGTGTTTAAGCCTACTGATGTTCTGAATTTGCTCATTAAGCCCTATTCAGAGGAAAGTTTACCCTGCAAGGCAAACCGCAACACTGTTTAAAAAACACTGCAGATATTTGTGGGTATGTGCCCCAAATTGTGACAGTATGGAGAGATAGAAGAAGAGGGATTGTGATGTGACCACTGGATGGTGTTTTCTCTACTCTGTCTCTGGTGAGCACTTACACCCTCTGATAGTAAAAAAATTAATAAAATGAAAACACAGCGTACACATGTAAGCATGCCCAGAATCTTGATGAGATGAAATAAAGGAAAAAAGTTAAGTGACATGATAATGTCTTGTCTGGCAGTTGTGGTCTCTTTCTTTTCCATTGTCATTTCTTTCTTTCTTTCTTTCCTTTTTTTTTTTTTTTGAGAGGATTTTTGTTACAGGGCGCGTGAGCTCGCCTGACAGACAGACATAGACAGAGAGACAGAAAGCGAGAATGATTAGAGAATGTTAAAATTACAGTTAATACATACATGTTTAACATTATACCATCTTGTATCCCTGTTTCTAAAAAGCCTATTGTTGAAGTAATATAATAAAAATGCAGATTTAAGGGAACCAGCAGTTAGCGTAATGGCTGTCGCTGGACTCCCACGTAGTCGACCGCGGTTCCCGTCCCGGACCCGGTGACTTAAAACTCACGCCGGGCACGTGTGCGTGCGTGCCCAAGATCCCGAGAAGAGAATGGAGGAGAAGGAATTGCGGCTTGACCATCCCCCCTGGGGGGTGATTTCTCGCTTTCTGTCTCTGTGTCTCTCTCTGTCTGGCTGGCGAGTGCACGCGCCCTACAGTGAAAATCTCTCCAAAAAAAAAAAAAATGCAGATTTACGAGGCCTGTAGTTAGTATCTACAGACGACTTACGTTGAAATGAAAATTTAGAGTATTAATTTAAAATGCTGTAGTGGTCAAGGAAAAATTGTTGTGAAAGTTAAGTCAACCTAATGGAGCTGCCAGTATAATCATTATTTTTATGCTATAAGCATCTTTTTTTCTTTCAGCGTGTGAAACACTTACTGAGTGGGAATATTTGCCACCTGTTGGGCCTCGCCCAGTGAAAGGATTTGTTGGACTAAAAAATGCTGGTGCTACTTGTTACATGAATTCTGTGATCCAGCAGCTCTACATGATTCCTTCCATCAGGAACAGTATTCTTACAATTGAAGGCACATGTGGGGACATAGATGATGATATGTTTGGGGATGAAAAGCAGGACAATGAGGTAAATTTTAATTGCCAATTCTTATTTTCTTTATTTAAAGATTCTGATAATCAGATACTCTTATTTTCCCTTGGAATATTGTACCTCAATGAACTTTTTTTTTAAAAAAAAACAAAACTATGATTTATGATAGAAATAAAATCTCTGAGCTATTAATACTCTGACATGTTTTAGTGGTCTTTCTCTCATTGACCTGAAATTCTATTTAAAACCTTTCTCATGGGTCCAGCAGTTAGCCTAATGGCTATGTTGCTAGACTCCCACGTAGTCAACTGCGGTTTGAGTCTCAGACCTGGTAGCGCATGTGCGTGCATGCCCAAGATCCCGGGAGGAGAAAGGAGAAGGGATTGTGGCGTGGCCATCCGTCCTGGGGGGGTGATTTCTTGCTTTCTGTGTCTCTGTCTCTCTGTTTGTCTGGCAAGCACATGTGCCCTATAGCCAAAAAAAAAAAAAAACTTCCAAAAAAAAAGCTTTTTCTTTTCATTTCTAAAGCACAGTTAATATAACCATTGTTTATTTGACAAAAGAGAACAAAATTTGATGTTTCAAATGATTAAGGTATCTTTAATAATTATGTTTTATCCTTTAATTTTTAGAGTACATTTTATGTAATTCTCCATTTACCATACTATCAGTTTTAATCTATGCTTATTCTTAAGGTTCTCTTAACATTTCTAAATCAGCTTTTTTTGTTAGGGAGACAGTCTTGTTTCTCAAGTAATGTTAGATGATCTACTAGATTATTAATTAACCAAAACAGGTTTACATACTGCCTACCATAAGTATCTAATTCAGCAGGAAATTTAGATATTAGTGGTATAAAAGAGTACTTATAACTTCAGTAGGACTCTTTAATACGTAAATACGATAGAATTAAGTATTGGTCATGTTTAAACGTAAACTTTACAAAATTTCTCTTTTACTTTTTCCCATAAAATGTGAAAGGAATTAGATATAGAATAAGAATATTATAATAAATGATTCTTCCCTTTTCCTAGGTTTTTTTCTTTAAATGGTCACAAATAGTTTGGTGTTTTGGATGAGTTCATTACTTATGTAGATTATAAATAAATACACTTGCCTCTTTACTCTTCCCCCGATCTAATAATTTTCATCATGCTTTCACTAGAATCTCACTTTGGGCAGTACATGCTTATATCTGGTAAGGAACCACTGTCAAAAGGAAAATTTGGAGCTTTAAGTCCGATAGCCCACTTGGTGGTAGGTCAAACAGAAACAGCTAATCATTTTGTCAGGAAGTAAGTGAAGTAGATGGATATAGTAAAACTGTCAAATTTAGCCCTTAAGCTTTATACCTTGTTGCCTGGGCTTCATGTCCTATTGGTATTCTACTACAGTGTTGTCTGCTTACTTAACTCGTTTCTACTCTTAAATGTGAACATCCTATTGTTTCTGTATTATAAACCTTAGAGACAGAATAAAGCATGTTAGATATTTGTAAAGTAAATGAATTCTGCTGTTTAGGTACCATGAAATTAGGGCATTTAATGCTTCTGTACTACTATTCCTTCCACAACTACTCTTGATATATTGAGTATTAATGAATTTGATCATGTCACGTAAATTAACTCATAACTATGAAAAGTCTCATGAGAAATACTGAATCTTGGAAACACTGAATTAATTTTAATTCCCAAAAGTTTCTTTTGCAGAGCATTCATTTGTGTCAAGTCTAGTCTGCTTTACAAACTTTTCTATATTATACTACCTCCAGTGGTTGTTCAAGATTTTAATTTTGTTGTTTTTATGATTAGCTACCTCCAATATAATCACTAATACTATAATTTGAAAGTGCTTTGGAAATAAATAATAAAGTTACACAAATCATTCTCTACTTAATATTTGTTTCAACTTATTTTATTATACTTTCGAAGTTAGACCAGTTCATCAGTTTTGTTTTTTGTTCTCTAGAGTAATGTTGACCCCCAAGATGATGTATTTGGATATCCTCATCAATTTGAAGAGAAACCAGCATTAAGTAAGACAGATGATAGGAAAGAGTATAATATTGGTGTCCTAAAACACCTTCAGGTCATCTTTGGTCACTTAGCGGCTTCCCGACTACAATACTATGTGCCCAGAGGATTCTGGAAACAGTTCAGGTATACTGTGGGTGGGTGATTATTTAAGTTTTATAATATACTAACCTTAAGTTTCTAAAATATGTGTTAGAATATGTAATTATTTAATAAGTAGTAGATAAGAGGTGGTAATATTCTAATTTTTTATCCAGTTTTTCTTTATTATGACTTCAATAGGAAGAGAGAGAAATAATCTCAGTAAAGAGAGGCAATAGTATTTAGTCTATTAAGATGTAATTTTTTATTTAAAAATAATTTTTATTTGTTGGACTCTCACATAGCCAACGGTGGTTCTAGTCCTTGACCTGGGATTTGCTTTCTCACTTCTCTCCCTCTATCTCCATCTTTCTGGTGAGCAAACATGTTTTACAGCAAATTAAAGGAACAATAATAATAATATGTCAAATTAAATGATTAAAACATTTTAAAAATTTAATTTTTTAGAACTTTACAGAGAAGTGAAATACTTATAGTCTCCTTGATTCACCAGTTCTCAGGAGAAGCACATGTTAGATATTGTCTTTATACTGAATTTCATTTATGTGTTACTGAAGTTGTGGATTGTTTTGTTACTTGTTTTTTAAAAGGAACATGACCATTCTACCATTGTTTCACACCTACTTAAAAACTTCTTTAAATGACTGAACATTTCAGTCTTTATTTCAATTTACCCAGCTTAATTTTTCATTAAGTTGTTCACTTAGGGGAGTTCATGTATATTTGCTACAGTTAACAATATGTCTCTGTTTTTTTGTCATCATACAGATTTATCTCATGTTTTTTCTTTGTGGAGGTTTTTGCTAGTGCTTGTTGGAGAGACAGAGAGTCAAAAAGTGAGGAATCACTCCCTAGGAGGTTTAGTTACACCACAGTTCATTCTCTTCTGTGGTTTTTGAGCATACTTGCTCAGGCTCCCTGAGTGAGTTTTAAGGCACCAAGTCCAAGAGTCAAACTCTAATTGACTACTTGGAAGTACAGTGACTTTACCATTACACCATCAGCTAGTTTATTTTATTTTATTTTCTGATTGCCTAGATAGGTTGAATTTTATCTTTCTGTTTTGCTTTGTTTTGTTTTCCAGTTATCAGTGACTGAACTGGTAGTTTGACCTAGATAGCAAAATCTTTACGTGTGTGTGTGTTTGTGTGTATGTGTTTACATTCACCTGGACATTGTTTTACTCCTGTGTTTGTTTTAAATTTATTAAATTACAGTTTATTTGCATCAAATATAATTATGTATGTTTTTCTTCTCAGTCATTGCTTCCAAATAGTGGTATCCTGAACTTACCTAATAATGTTTCTGTTACCTACCCTTTAACAAGTTCTTTATCATGAACACAAAGTATGTTCTTAACATATTTTTTGTGGATAAGTGTATATACCTTAACATTCAGCATTATAGCCATGTAATAGTGTATAAATCAGTGGCATGTAGTGCAAGAAAATATTTGTGCAACTGTCACGACCACTATTCTTCACCCAAAAAGGAAACCTGGTGCACATTAAAATAGTTATTCTACAGTTTTTCTTTTTCCAACCTTGGTAATAAATAATTTTGCTGTATGTGAATTTGCTTCTTTTGGATATTTCTTATAAAATTAATTCCTCCTCCCCCTCCTCTCCCCTCCTCTCTTCACCTTCCCTCTCCCTCCCTTCCCCTTTTTCAGCCTCTGTCTCCCCCCTTCCTCTCTATTTTCTTTTCCCTTCCCCTTCCTCTTCATCTTCCCCTTTCCTTTCCCCTCCCACACTTCTCACTGGAATGAGGTCACACTACCATCTCTTTCCATTTCTCTGACCCATTTGTATGTTGGGAAAACATGTGCACCTGTGCCTGGCAGTTCCCAACTAATAGAAGGGGAATGAAACTGCAGTTAGCCATGAGGGATCCAACACTTTAAACCACTGGGTGGTGGCTTAGGCCCATTTTATATGACTTTAGTTACACAGTGTGTCTTTCCAGTCTGACTTCTTTTCACTAAGCATGTTTTCAGGATTTATTCATGTAATAGTACATGTCAGATTTTTACCATTAGAATCATACGTTAGACCCAGGTGTGAATATTGACTCAAAATGGAATCATTGGTGGTGTAGAAGTTAAGGCAGCTGGATCCCCTATAGCTGATTGAGTAGTTCACGTCCCAGACCTGGTGGCTTGAAAAATACCACTGAGCACATGTATATATGTGTGTCCAAAATCTTGGGAGGAGACTGAGGAGAAACAGTTGTGACATGGCCACCTCCTAACCCTCAATCCCTAACCCAGTAGTGATTTCTCACTTTCTCTCTCGTTCTATGTCTCTCTCTTTCTCTCTCTCTCCTTTTCCTGCGAATGTATGTACCTTAAAGTATCCTAGAAGGAATCAAAAAAGAATGTCAAATACCCAAACTTGTGACCGTTTGAAAACTTTTAGAAAAAAATGTAGGGGAAAACATTGGATTTTAAATGATTTCTTGGATTAAATAACACAAATAGCAAGAGAAAATAGATGAAACCCCACTGTTTAAAAAAAAAACAGTGTGGTAAAATTACTGTTCATAACTTAAAGGGCTATAGAGATTAATTCTCAATCGAAAACGTGAGAACATTCTTTATAATGCAAACTTGTTTTAAACAATAAATATAGAAAGTTCGAGCAGAAAGTTAATCACACCAGCAGGAACTAGAAATTCAAAAATGAAGAGACCAAACTAAAAATGGGAAATGTTGGGTATATGTAGTACTCTGTTTTTGTTACAAAATTTCTTTTTAATTAATTAATTAAAGTTTCAGTTTGGTCAGAGGGGAGCAGAGTGAGAGAGAAGGAGTGCCGGTTATTCATGTGTTTGGACGTTTGATGGTATCTAGTACTTCTCATATATTATTATCAAATTTTTGGGCCATTTTCTCTGTCTTCGTGTTGGGTTTTTCTAGGTCAGCAATTTTCTCTTCTACGTCTGAGATTCTGTTTTCTGTATGATCTGGTTTGCTTTTAATACTTTCAAGGGAGATTTTGACTTCCTATATTATAGTCTTCATTTCTAACAGTTCCGTTTGATTCTTTTGTAAAGTGTATAATTCCTCTTTTGGATCTTGCAAGAATTTCCTCATCTCCTGGAACTCGTCAACTTCTTTCTCCTTTCTCTTGAGTAGTTCGTTCTCTCTTTTCTTCCATCTCTGTTAGCTTCGACATTTTGAATGCTCTAAAATGTCTATCAGACATTACCATGATTTTCACCGAACTGCTTGTGGATGAAGAAGTGTTTACTCTTTTTCCTTAAAGAGAGGTATTTTCTTCCTTTCCCATATTGCTTGTGATCCGGCGCTGATTTCTTGTCATGGATGGTGTGTTTCTTTCAGATTTTTTAAGTTCAGTCTAGTTCGCAGGAGCCATGAGGAATCATCTTCTGAAGGCCTGCCCTCTCCTGCCTAGTTCGCAGGAGTCATGAGGGATCTTCTTCTCTGATGTCTTACTTTCTGTCTCTCTGTCTGTCTTTGTCTTTCTGGTGAACGCATGCGCCCTATAGCCAACCCCCCCCCCCCCACAAAAAACAAATACAATGGGAAAAAGCAGAATACCAAAATTGCTTAAATAATCCAGAATCGGGCAGGTGGCATGGTCATTAAGGTACTGGATTCCCATTTGCATGGTTAGAGTCCCAGACCTGGTGACCTGAAAACCATGTTGGGCATTAAAGACCTGTAGATGTTACAGTGGTTACCTCAGTGGATACCTTTCTGGATTCCCACTTTGAATCCCAGTGATTTAAAACTCATAATGGGTGTGTGTCTGTATTGGTGTCGTGTATGCTGAATATCTCTCTTTATAAAATGTAAAAGAAAGAAAATCGTGCTGGGTACATTTTCATGCATCCTCAGAATCCCAAGAGGAAATTGGAAGGGAAGAGACTGTGGTATGGTCATCTCCTTAAGGAGTGATTTCCTCTCTTTCTTTCTCTCTCATTCCCTTTCTGTTACACATGCATGTGCCTTATAGTGTAAAAAACTAAAATACATTTAAAAAATAGCATTGTATCTACATGTGTATATACACATACAATTTGTATATATGTGTGTGTATGTATATGACATGTATTGTATATACATGAATATAGGAGGAATGGCCACGTTGCATCTCCTCGATTCTTGTCTTGGGATTCTGAACACAAACACATGCACACAGTGTGCTCATTAAGCTGCCTGGTTCAACAATCCTAACAGGATGGAGAAGAGATTTTAGTGAAGCCAGTCTCCATTGTGGGGGAATGTTTTCTTCCCTCTCTATTTCTCTGACAAACACTTGATTCACATAGTTAGGCATGTGGTAACCCAGTGCCTCAATCTCCACACCATCGAGTTTGGATCTTTTATTAGTATCTAAGGCCGACTGTGAAATTGTAGTATGTACTCTTTGTTAGATGCTCCTTCTCTGAATATTAGGTAAAAGCTACATATCATCTCTCTGCATTAAAAAAAAATAGCTTTTTAAAAAAGAATTATTTAATTTTATTTATTTATTTTATTTTAATTTGACTAGAGAAAGAAAGTGAGAAAACAAGTCATTATGTCGGTTGAGGGAGTGTCCAGCACCTTAACAGCCTCACTACCTGCTGGTCCCTATTTCTCTGCATTATTTCTTCAACCTCCATATAGAGGCCAGCAAGTGGTGTGGTGGTTATGGTACTGGAATCACAAATGACTGAGTCTGTGGCTCAAGTCCCAGACCCTGTGACTTGAATCTCACACTAGTTGTATGAGTCCAGAATCCTAAGGGGGAAACGGAGGAGAAAGGATTGTGGTGTGACCATCCCGAGAGGTGATTTCACAATTTCCCTCTCTTTCTCTCCAGCAAACATACATGCAAAAATCTAAAGCAAAACAAAAAGACTTATGTGGACCCAGCCAAGGTGGCACACAGATACTGTGAGTTCTTGGAAGGCTGTCAGAGTCATTTTTTCAGGCAGACCCTTGAGACCTTGGACAAGGTGACAAATATAATCTTAGTTACATGGGAGGCTCGAGTAGGAGTCATGATGGAAGC